CAGTCTCAAATCAAAATTAATTTTGATTTTTATTCGCTAAAAGTCTAGGTTTGCTGCTGAATGTGGCACACGGACCATTACGACGTACAGACGACTCTTCTTATTCCCATCGATGGCGTTGCAGAGTGTACCCCTTTCGACCTCTACAAACAACCCTGGCTGGAGGAGCAGTATGGGGTACAACGACTGACCACAAGAAAAAGAATAAAGCCAACAATTTATGCTGCTTTTGAAATGCTACGATCGTCCGTGGCTGCAAAAGTAAATATATGTGTAAATTATGTCCAAGCTTCACGCATAAAGGAATATATATACTACCAAGTATTTTACCTATCAACACGAATCGTATCACTGATGTCAGGTCAAGTTCTAAGTTAAATTGTTAGATCTAATCCAGATCATTTATTCCTTTTGCAAAAACTAATCATAATAAACTATTGTTTGCCGGGTATTAAGAGTTAAGTGGTCAGCTATCTTTTTTCTTATATGATTGACATTCAAACAGACATGTCAGTTCAACTGTTTGTATAAGTCCTAAACCAGTTAGACAAGAGATAATTAATATTTCCTTTATATCTGAGCAAGTGTGAACTAATGCAGTTCCCAATGGAAGGTTCTTACACACGAAGGAAGTAAGAGTGACTTAAGAATGATTTAAAGAAATGAAATATTCAACGAAATGCGTTAGTAAATGCAAAACGAACACTTTTGCGCCTTCCTGGATGCGTGATTTACCTTGGAACTTGTACTTTTGGGGTGGAGACAGAAAGTTCTGTCCCATTAGTCAGGACGGAGTCATTTTATGTTTACCAAGAAAAAGGGTTGTGAATTTTAAAAGTCCTCTCAATAGTGTAAAAAACATTCTAGCACAATTTGTTTTCCCCTTGTTCATGTCCTTCTTTACTATCTGCTGTAAAATTGCTTATACAAAAATTGGCTTTAATTTAACCGACGAGAGGATGCAACGAAAAATTTTGCCAGATTGCTTTTTATACAAAACCTTTACGTTGAAGACAAAATGGCACCAATATCCCCATTTTAACTAAAATGGCTTTAAGTGAAGAGGGATGAATTGTTGAAAATTATGACCGAAGGGGTATAGTGAGATACGCTTTGATGCGTTGCTTAGTTTCCATCATGTTTTAAGTGTCAATTGCTAAAATGTTACATGATTCTGTTCCACTAACAACTATTTGAATTAGATTAGTTAAATTAAGCATATTTTTTCAAGAGAGAATTTTTCTATCTTAAATATAAGTTCCTATTCCCGTTTTGGAAATTTTATAATTGCCTCCTTAGTGAAAATGCACTTCGTTAAGATCCGAAAGGAAGATTTTGCCCTTTATCTGGGATCCACATATTCATTTAAAACGTTGAAATTTATCGTAATATAAGCAAGTCAGTATTTTAAACATGAAGCCACTGGAATATCCATTCACAATGGAAACGGTTTGCTTTCATACCAGAATAACGGCTACTGATAATTTAGCCACATATACTTGATTCTTAAATCAAATTTAAGCTTTAGCACTTTTGGACATGCCTAATGCTTAAAAACATTAGTTTTTACCCTGAGGTTTTACGTGCATGCACCGTAAAGTTGAGATTGGCGTCCGTTTAATACTTGAGTGCTTCCCTTTGGACATTATTTCATCCTCCCTTTGTTTTAATTCGCTATATCATGAAATGCTGCTTCAACGAATGTGATAGTAGACGAGTTTGCTTGTCAAGTGAAGCGAGTTTGCTTTGATTCCAGCACACAGTGGTACCTCGTGACATTTGTCGCGCCACAAACGGTGAAGATGTGACAGTGAAATGGAGCTCACAGAAACGGTCCAACGCTTTTAACTTTGGTATGTAGCCGCTATTAAATAAGGGTGCAATTAGCAATGCATTAAGGTAATTTGAGTTAAATCCATCTAAATTAACTTACAGAAATATTCACCATGAGTTGTGAAGGAATTCAATCACGCTTCCACCATTTGACTAACTGACTGATCAGCTGCTACGCACTAGAAGTTGACTTCATGCTTCGAAGTTTGTTGACTAATCAAATATATGCATGGATGTTATGCCCACTGCACAAATACTGCGCTAATCTATCCGCAAGAAACCTTGCTCTTGTGGTGTGGAATGCAGAAGGATTTTTTTAATTTAAAATTCTCGGTACAGGCCAAACAGGAAGTAAAGAGGTGGAAAATAATATAGACCAGCTGAGAGGAGGTCCTATCAAACCGCAAAAGTACACGTGGAGAGATTTGAACTTCCCGCATGTGAAGGGAAAATGGTAGCACTCCTTTATTCTCATGCTGCGTACCTCTCTCAAAAATGAAATTTACCGTCTTCCCACGGGACAAGACAATCCTATCGTAAAAGGTATAATTATGATCAAATAAATTAAATAAATGGCAGCTTTATCATAAATGCAGGATCCAGAGTAAATTAGTGTCTTCTTTGAGAGAGTCATGCAAAACCCCATCGTATTTCTCTAAAGTGCAGTTTTGATGAGGCATATTTGTATTTAAAGTTATTTTGGGTCATTTAGAAATAGGAATATTGTCTTCTGAGGCAGAAAACTTCACGCAGAGGGAAATAATCGGATCATTAATGTACAGAGACTACCGTAGGTTATACACGTGGGCACACCACAACACCACTGCGTCAGAGGGTATAACTCGTGGTTCGGGGCCCGCATCGTCATAAAAATGGCTACACAAGTCCGAGCTCCTTACCAAGGCCCTTTTTTTCTTTCTGTTGTTACCCTTGTTGATGTCTGGCTTTAACCAAAATACCTTAGTTGGTGCTTTGAGACCGCTGACGCTGCAGGCAGTATGATTAACAAATAGTCACTGAGACGAGAATACAGAGAATATAAGCGGTATGAGTAGTACATCCCAAAAATTTAATTGCGTTCAAAGTCTTAACAGGCTTCCCATTAAGAATCGTCATAAAATATATAAAAACGCGGCTCTTTAAGTCGGGATGAATTATAAGGTGAGTTTATGCAGTTAATCTGCTGCATTTATTTCTTCAAATTACTTCGTTCCCATTTCACTGCTGCCTGGCAGTCGAACCGGATTCCACTCACCTGCCAAAAAGTAAGGCAGGTACAATTTTTCTACACCATTTGCACATCCATATACAAACCCTACTGGTAACTCGAAGGTAAATTTATGTGTCCTTAAGTGCGGAGTCGCCTAAATTTTTTAAATGTCATTCAATGTAACACAATATTAGGGGATACTGACGAAGTGTGCGTCGCCCCTAGAGTCCTCCCTCTGCAAAGTTCCTGTCAACATCGGGCCTTCACAGTAGATTGCCTCCTTCTGGGAAGTTAAGATATGTTAATCAATCAGGGGAATGAAGAAATCTTAGGGGCTAAGATTGGGCTCTCTTCTCATTTCTCCGAGGCTGCTGTGCGGTTATGTTATCAAGGAGATGAAGGTAAATGTCAAGATTAACTATCCACCAAATGAGCGAATGCGGTCAATTTGACATCAAGTACCTCATCGCATGTACTCAAACAATAAAAAAAAAGTGTCTTTGATGAATGGTTAACTAGTAGCATTTGTGAATGTCACAGTGGTCGTTTGCCATTCGGTTACTTGGAATAATCAAACACAATAATGATGCGCACTTTTAAAGCGTACTTTTCTCCTTAGAATTGAGGTATCGTACACATTTTAAGTGTAAAGGGGATAAGCCTAGATCTTTTGCTCCTACATACATATCTTCCCTGCACAAAATTGGTGTTGAATGACTTTATTTGAACACAGGCAATCAACCTTAACCGTGCGTTCCACTACTTTTACGAAAATGGCACCCAATTTTACCAGTAGCCCTATGCCATGTGACACTTTGTTCGTTGTACTCTGCGTTTTGTTTGTGTGGCCATGCAAGGCTCAGTAATGTACTTCCACTTGGAGATATGGCCCAGGGGACGTACTAGTAGCCACACAGCCCTAGCGTAGGTGTCTAAAGCATTTTCTGCCCCACTGTTATGACTTCTTCCTGTTTTAGGCCAGACGCTTAACGCTACAGGTGAACTGCTATACCTATCAAATCCTATTCCGATTTCACCGGCCCTATATAAATCGTACAATTTGATTTCCACAAATGTCATGATAACCTTTCCAGACTCCCGTAATTTCCTCTGTGCAGAATAACGAACTTTGCATAAAACAAAAAATATATTAATATGTGCATTTGCCATATTTATTATTCATCAAATAAGCGCTATATGGACATGTCTATTTTTAGAAAATCAATTTCACTTTTAGAATTTAATTTCATCTTAAGATCTGCTATTTGATTAAAGTCGGGGTTTTTAAATCCCTTTAAGCTCTGGGATATGGCAACATTTGCATTTTGCCGGTCGACTGTTACCTGCAAAGTGAGTCCACCGGGTGAGAGGTAGACCTGGGCTTAAATACAGCCGAATAATGACGATTCGGAAACGGCCATGGTGATGCAGATTTAAGCACTCACATTAGCGCAAACTGGATATTACTTTTGCCTTTGCAGAAGCTCAGCCTCTGAAGGCAAAATTCTAGCTCTAGCCG